TCTTCGTCCACCAGGAGGATATCGATGGTTGTGTCGCCAATCCACGAAATGGACGATGCCTGGAGGCCGATCGCTAGCTTGGGAGCGCTGGATCCATGGTGAAGGATCCATCTCTCTTCTCGCTCTTCGCTCCACTGGCCATCGTCTCGAAGAACCGGATCGATCGCACGGTTTTGCCGACGAGCAATCGCAGCTGGGATGTAAATCGTGTCGCCGAGAATGGGAGCTCCGAGAGCAGCGAATTGAGCTCGAACCTGAGAGTTAAAAAGCTTGGTCTGTATGTCGGAGAAGAAAAGAGAGAGCTGTATAGAACCTGGTGTGTTTTTCCGGTGAGAAGTTTTACTTCGCATTCGTAAGCGTGACCATCGTGCTCCAACTCGCAATTGCTGACACCATTCTCGCGTAGTCGTGCCTCCGACGGCCATTCTACTTGGTGGCATTGCAAGACTTCCATCGAGCACAAGTGCCATCCTTGGCGTTTGTCTACAAAGGTGATTACTTAGTAGCAGTCTCTGGCATGGTTACTACGATACCTTGACTTAAAAGATGAGGAGCGAAATGATCCGGCCGCATGTAATGGCTCACGATTCCTAGCGGAACTGGGAAAGCCGCCAGAACAAGGTACCGTTTGTCCACCTTTCTAGTCTGTTTTTTTCCAATCTGTTAAGCTCGGAATCGAGAAAAGATAAAAGTTTTCAATCTCAGACCCGTAGCAGCCGATTGAAGTTCGAGACGAAATCCTTATCCTTGGCAAGAACGACACTACGCCAGCAGGAAAAAGAAAACTTTTTGAGAAGAGAAAGCAATGAACTAAGTAAGTTTGCAAAGCAAACCTTTACCATCCTTCAGTGCAGTTGTCAATCTGGTGCGTAACGAGCAGAGGAAACGCCATGCCAAGTGCTCGAGATGCAAAAGTGACACACGATTCCTCCAGATTATCAACACTGCCTCCAACCTGAATGAAACTTTCTTTCACGAATCCATTCTAGATGAGAATAAAAAAAAATTCACATACCGACACACCAGCTGGTTTGTCCAAGACCACAAAGAGATCATTCTCGGCCAGGATCCTGGATTTCCAGTCCACTTCATAGCATCTAACCACAAAGAAAACACGAGTATAAACAAGAGAGAAAAAGCAACCAGCCAGAGTTTCTTGCCTGGGAAAACGCCGGGGATGGACGTGTACTCGCATGTAAGAGCCAGCCTCAACTTCTTCGTGCTTACTCACGATTCTTCGAGCCTTTTGTGATTCCTGGACCGACATTCCTTTCACGCGAGGCAAATCCATAGCCAGAGCTCTCTTGTAAAACTCCATATGCTCCTTTGGAGCGGTCTCGGGCGGCTCGGAGCATCGCAGCGCATGGTAGACAGCTCCAAACTCGATCAAATCATTCACATATCTGCACAAACGCGAGAAAAGAATAAAGTTACTCACGCAATGATACGAAGAACAATGCGTGCTACTCACAGAGATGGCAGTGACAAAGCCTGGCAAAGGTAATCCACCACATTCCCATTCTTTTCCACGAAGAGATGCTCGATCCGCACTGGGAGATCATCGCCAGGGCAAGGGAGGAGGCGATCGTAGCAGTAGCTCTCTGGCCTGCTCCAGAAAGAGATCGATTTCAGCTATCGTTGCGCTGCCATGATGCAAAAACTCACATCGATCGATCCATACCTCGCCTTGGCGACACGGACGCGCTGCTTCTTCCAGATGAGATCGTGGCGCCGCTTCTTGAGCGGCACATCGCACAGATCCCTGGCGCACGCGCGCAAACCTAAAAAATGGAAGCGCCATAGCGCACAAGACGAATCTATTGAGAAGAATGCCATCTCTTTTAAAAGAGCCCATAGAAAACTAAGTCCAAAGTATACACCACCAAGAACATCGATGATTCGGAAAAAAATTTCTTCGAATTTACAAACCTCTCTACTCGCTACAAACTCTCAAGAATTGCTCCGCTGCCCACGCTTCTCCAGGTTGCAACACCACCTTATCAAGCTAGACACACACGAATTCCAGAATTCCAGAGCGAAAGAAATGGATGAATCGAATCGAGCAAAAACTTACTTTGGCATTCTCGACGCAGACGAAGTTCAAGTAGGATTCCTTCAAAGTCAGGTATGGATTCCAGAGCACTGCGTCCGTCCACCTGAAGTTTGCGAGATTTGAGAGGCCAAGCTCAAGAAAAAAAAAAGGACTCGTAAGTTACGTACCCTTTGTTTCTGATCGAGATGGTATTGCCGAGGCCGTTTTCCAGTATCACTTCTCTCGGGGCATTCAAGTACATACAATCGTAGAATCCTGAAAACGTTATCTCGTCCCTGGAGAAGAAAACATCTTAGAGAAGTATCATAGCGATGATCAAAAACGAAAAGAATAAAGCGATATCACTACCTCTTCTCGACACCGGGTGTTGGATTCTTGGGATCGGGGTCTTTGTTCAGAGTTTTACATCCTTTCAAACCTTTGATACACACATCACCAATGGCTGCCTGGAAGTTAAACTTAGTCCTCCACAAGCCAAGCAAGTAGGATAGAAGCTTACGTGAAAGTAGTTGTGGAGAGCTGTGGTGAACGAGAATTCTTTGTTGTCGACATTTTTTACATGAATGTGTGTTTTGAGAGCTTCCGGCTCTAGTGTAACCTGAAAAGAAAGCGGGAGATCATAAGTCCCAATGCTCTAGATCAGTGGAGAAAAAGACACCTTATACTCGATTTTGAAGTCGCAGTCCCACATGTTGCGGCTGTAATCGGAGGGCCCGAGCTCCAGAGTAACGGAGGGACAGCCGGAATAGTTTTCAGTCGTCGACAACGTCCATGGAACATTTCTCGCGAAACCATGCTGTTATCGAAACGATTCATAGATAAGCGAAGCGTAAGAAAAGCATGCACACACCTGTTGCATAACACCTGGTCCAAACTGAGGAAAACAATGAGGGATCCCACCACTACAAAAGAAAAAATTCGCAAGTCATCAATCACTGCTCGAGAAGCTTGAAAACTCGTCACCTGATTGGCTTCGTTCCATCAAAGACCGCATCTGGCCTCACGAAGAGCAGCTCGTCTCCAGAAACAGTTCTCCACGAGGTGATACACGCTCCAAAAAGATAAATCTCTGCAGTGCTGGAAGAAGAAAAAAAACGAAAAAGTTGTAGAAAAAAATCCAAACGCGAGTAAAAATCACTACCTTCCTTCAGAGCTACACAGCACTACCTTCGGAAGATCCCCCAGACCACTCTCAACCTCAATGCCTTTGATTCCAAAGTGTTTGTTCATGCTTTCCACTTCCGAAAATCTAGACAAACAAAAAGGCACGCGGTCATCGGAGCTGAAAATGCAAATCTTTTCGCTGGAGCGAAAAGCAAGCCAAATCCCCAGCCACATTCTCGCGATGCGATCTCTAGAGAGAATCTTACTTGGATCGCGCAACCAGCGCATTGGCACGGCGCGCTCTCGCCGCCGATGGCACCGCAAACGCTCTCCGCTGCCATCGATCGCCAAACCCTAGCGGGCGTAGCGCCGGCGCCGAGCACTTTGGGGCCACCCCAGCCATCGTCCTCCTCTCCAGAGTAGGGCATCTCAAGTCAAATTTCAAAGCATATTCTTCAAACATCCCTAAGCTCTAAGTGTTTCAAATGATCTTCCAATGTTTCATTGAAGATTAAAACATTATCAATTATAAGAATAAAGGATAAATTTCAACGAAGGAACTTTGCAGCAACACTTTTTGCTTCTCCAAACATGTGTGCTGCTTTTAAACAATGGATTGCCCCCATGCACGTCTCATAGTCTGGGTTATCCACCAGCAGAAACGAGAGTAGAAGACTCATAGGCACAAAACACTTATCCTTGCGCATAACTCTGAAGGGTGTGAAGAATTCCTTACAACATAAAGGATAGACCCGGTAATCACCTGATGCAACCAAGCTCTCAAAAAACTCTTGTATTTGTGATTTTTCATATCTGATCCTCAGACTCTTCATAACAATTGCAGCCTTTTCATCGTAATTTCCAAATTCCATGAGCAGTGCAACAGCATCAGGCACCCAGTGAGACACCACTAATTCAAACACACATTCTGTGACATCCAAGTCGTCAACTTCCATGGCATTCGTTCGCTTTACTTCCTTCACCACCTTCATTGCATTGTCAAAACTCCCTTTGCAGCAATGCTTTAGCACTAACCTGTAGCACTTTGGTGTTGCTGCAACCTCACATTCATCCGCCATTGCAAGAAACAGATGAAACGACTGGGATGGAGCAGATGTTATCAACTTGTCATACAGCTCAACTGAAGGCTTGTACCCAAAAGACTTCATTTGCTGCAGTGCTTTTGTAGCCTTTTCTGTCGAAGAAGATGCCATCTCTATGATGATCTTCCCGTAGATAGTCTCCTCCGAAGTAGAATCGCCAGCCTCCACTATTAAACTCGTAGCCCTAGCCATCTGTGAGGGATCCTCTCCCACTAACCGGGCTGCAAATCTGATTGCGTTCAGCTTCAAGCCTTTTGACCGTGCCTCTCTCACAAAAGCAAGAGCCTCATCACAGCTTTTACACATGTTTAGCATGTAGTCATATAACCTTGTTGCCCCAGCCTCATCGCCTCTCATGAAAAAATCAATCTCGCCTCTCGCCTCCGAGAACAAATCAAACGCCATCTCTCGTGATAAATTCCACTCCGTTCTTGCTCTCTCAAACAACCTAAGGTTGCGTTTGTAGCTAAGGGCCTTCATTTGCTTTAGCACGTCCCTTGCGTCCCTTGCATACATAGCAGAAACCTCCTTCGGCAAGCTAAACAACACCATCTCAAACGTTTGAGAATCACATCTTTTGTTGAGATTTACCAAAGCTGTCCTAAACCATCCGGATTTCACCAAATGTTGTACCACTTCCTGGCGATAATATCCCTCTGTAGCTCTGTCAATTTTAAGGAGATCCTCAGGCGCCAGATACTCCATCACCAATAACAAAGCCATCTTCATAGTAGGGTAAATATTCTCACTATCAAAAGTTTATAAAAGTTTATTTATAATCTTAAGCTAAATTAGAGCAATGCTATGGAAAAGTTTCTTGGCGATCCAACTGCTTTGCCTCTGCCTCTAAGCCCAGCTCCACAAAGGACATGAGGAAATAGACGTAGAGGAGCGCTCCAACCAAGAGCAGCCCCACGAATGAGCACACCATCCAAAACACGATCCACTTTGGAGTGATCTGGATGCTCGAAGTGGTCGTCACCAGGAAGTAGATCTCGTTGGACCTCTGAAGAACAGTCCCCGAGGTGGCCAACTCGGGCTCCGTCTGGATGTCTCCGATGCTCTTGTAGAGAGCAAACATGCTCCACATTGCAGCTGTGCAAATCACCACTCCCCGGATCCCTGTTCGAAAGAAGTGCATCCCAATCCTCCGCTTCACCCAGTCCTTGAAGTCCGCGGCCCAGTCGAGCACCATGTCTTCCACGTCCTGGAGCTTCTTGCTCAGCATCCCGGCGACGGTGAGGAGCAGTGCCAGCAGCGTCGTCACAATCTCGATCGAGACGTCCGACCTCTTGGACGAGCCTTTCTTCCACTCCCGCTCTCCAACCCGTTTCACGTCCGCCACTCGAGCAAAGGCTTGGAGGTTCTTGAGCAGCAGCTCCGCTTCTTGCTTGGTCTTCACCTCGTCCAGCCCCAGCAGGCAAGTCTCGCGATCGATCTGGCCACGCTCGATCCCGCAGTGCACGTCGTCCGTGACTTCCACTGGCACTTTGGCTTCCAGAGTGTCTAGAATCGCTCCCTCGAGGATCCGCTGCTGGTACTTCTCGAAGACGCTGGCGCTCTTCTTAATCGCCTCGAGAACAACTTCGCCTGGTCTCGAGCAGAAGCTCAAGAGAGCAGCGCCGTCTTGAGCACCTGGCTTGGTTTCCCGCTGCTGCAGCCACCCGTGGACACAGTCATCCACACGCTTCTGTGCCTCGAGCATCTCTGACACGTTGAAAGTCACGTTGATCCCCAAGTGTAGATCCCACCGGGAGCTGTACGAGAAGTAGACGATCGAGACGAGGACATCGGCTATTCTCGGTTCTCCCCAGAAAGAGTTGCTATCCTCGCAGCGGCTGGAGTTGAGCTTCACGCGCAGATCTTCGTCCGAAGTCGAGCTGCCGGTGATGTTTAGTCCCACGAAGCAAACCGAGCCCTTGCAGGCACACTGGTGGCTCGGGAACGCAAGGTACGAGATGATGTCCGGCGTGTAGACGATCGGTGTGGACTTCTTGCATGGCTTGCCGGAGTAAATGTACTGCCAGTAGCGTCCCTTGTCGACCCGGTCGTTGATCATCAGGCACTGGCTTGTTCTCGCGTTCCCAGCAAAGTTGCTCAGGTAGCTTCCATGCTTGGCATAAGGATTTCTCTCCTGGTACGGGTTGGCCGAGGCTCTTCGAAACGGGACCGCGGACATGAGCAGTGCAAATTCGCCTTCTTTTCCAGTCCAGACGATTGGAGTCGTCCACAGGCAAGAATTCTGCAGAGGATCGGTGGTGGTGAAGCAGATTCGGACACTCATCCCCCAGTTGATGACCATAGTCCATATCCAGCTGCTGCTTTTCCGAGCTATGACCCCTCCCAAAACGTGTGGATCCGGCGAGTTGTAGAAGAAGCTGGTGTTGTGCCGTGTCATATTCCCGGCAACTCGCCATACACTCGCTCGCTGGTAACCGAGAGTAGCACGCTCGATCGGAAGGTCTTTGAAAGCAGATGGTAGCGACGTGCTGGCGATCCATTTGTAGAACGGGTCGTAAGTGGTGGCAAAGAAGTTTGTTTCCCAGCAAGTAGAGCCTTCTTCCTGGATCAGATCGCTGTAAAACTCTGGCGCGAGGCTCTGAGCTCCAAAGAAGCGTATTTTGCCGAAAATCATCACGGCTACTGCTGCACAGAGCGCGCCGACCATCACGAGAGCCGCCACTATTTTATCCTTTCGTGACAGCCACGTCCGAAGATTTGTTGCTTGCCTTTTCATGTTGTCATTGGAAGCCATCTTCGAGTAGCAGTGTTGATCGCTTGAGGAATAAGCTAGGGAGAAAAGGAGAAATATGAGGACCAGACAAAAGCAAGTGAGAAACTAGTCTTACTTTGTGAGAAGCCTCGAGAAGTGAGAGTTTTCTGGCTGGTTCAGAGTGTACACTGCAAAACAGATGCGAGAAGGAAAGTGAGATCGAGAGTTCTGTAAGAGATGAGTTTTATACGAGCACCTTAGGAAGAACCACTGCAGCAAGGGAGCATTATTGCTAGTCATCTTCGAAAACGTGGCTATAGCTTCCTTGCATGGAAACCATAGCTGTATAGAACGTATGTCCTCTAGCTTTGAGAACCATACAGAAGCAAAGTACCTGTAGCATTTTGGAAAATCATTGCAGTAAGATCATCCAGGGCCGCGAAGCTTACTTCTTTTAAGAAATTAACGACAAGGGCCATGTCGCCTTCGAATTTCCACTCACGAGTGAGTACCTGGGATATTTTTTGACAATCCATCCAGCCTATGGATGAAGGGACCTGCTACACTGGAGACCTGGCATCCACTACCAAACCATCAATGTCAGGTATTGATCATCCAAGAGAAAAGAACACCAAAAACTCGCCTGGAATTGTTCCACAAGAGCCAGAACCAGGATTGTAGGCGAGTTCCTGACTTCCTGTTCATAGAGGCACCAAGCCAGGGGTTTTTTCTTATAGCAATGCGCTTACCTCTCTAGAAAGCTCCATGAGACGAGCCACGAAAATGTATGCCCTCCATTTGATGATGCTAGTCGCAAGAAACATGGGAGGATTTTGCAGCGCGCCTTGATAATCCAAACCACGAGCCTGCGCTGCCAAATCGATCATCTTTTCCCTCCTGCGAAGAGATCATCTAGAGTAAGAACCCTAGAACGCGAAAGCGGGAAAATGAAAACCCCGATACTGCCAGGATTCGAACCCACGAAATCTAATACTCAGTAAAATTTTAATTCTGGCATATTCGCAAGATATGCGCTAGGGTTTTTGGAGAGGTTTATGGCCGCGGCATTGCTGCGCCGAGCTCGTCGCTTTGCTTCGCCGCTCTCGCAATGCCACTCCCAGCAGCAATCTCGCGGCCTCAAATATCATCTCAAGCCCTCCGCGCAGAAGATCGCGGACGAAGAGGCCGCCTCCATTGCGACGATCTTGACGACTCCAGGAGTAACATCTGCGGATAGGTTTGCTACATTTCCTTCTGCTGTTCAAACGAAGCGTAGCACATATTTTCTCTAGGTAAAGCTTTCAAATTTTCCTCTTTGTTCTTCCAGGCCGGGCACTGGATATAAGCGCTTGCTTCCTTGCCCTTCTACACAACTTGGCCCACGAATCGAGCATCTCTTGGTCAAGAAAAAAGGAACCGTGCTGAGTATCGTCAGCGAAGTTCTCAAGCTTCCATCAGAGTAAGCATCGAAAACTTTCCCGGTTTGTTTCTTCGAAAGGAACTTGGCTTGAAAGCTTGGGTGGTTTGCGTAGATATGTGGCCGATTTGATGTCCTTTGGCGCTGTCCATCACGCATTGCGCTGTCCCAAGCCTCCGCTCAACCTCACTCCTCAGCAAGTCCAGCTCTTCAAGAAAGCTTCGCCGAAGAAATGGCCGGTTCTTGACAGAGTTTCTTTGGTGGAAGCACGAAAGCCTGAAAGGGTGACGGATCCAAATCACTATGCCGAGCCCGGATCGTACATTCGTGTCCACGTCCATCCCAAGCGGTTCCCGAGGTTCCATCAGAGTTGTTCTACTGAGTTGTCAGAGTTTTCTTTCTCCCGTTTTTCCAGATGCTATGAAGTTGACTGGAGATCAAGGATCATTGCCAACGAAGAGTCTTTTGTGGTGCTAAACAAGCCAGCGGGTGTGTCGGTACGTTTGTTCTCGAGTTTTTATCAGCCGTGCTCATGCTTTTGATGCACAGGTCGGTGGAAGCGTGGATAACGTCGAGGAGATTTGTTCGACTTTTGCCACACGAGCCTTGAATCTTGAGCAGCCGCTTGTGACGACGCATCAGCTGGACAATTGCACCGAAGGCTGGTAATTTTTTTCGACAGTGATACCATCTGTCCTGATATTCTTGTGTGCTTTTCTTCCTCAAGCCTGCTACTCGCAAAGAACAATGAGTTTGCCTCACGCTTCCACAGGTTTCTCAAGGTCGGCTTTATAAAACTCGCAGTAGCTAAAGCAAGGCACTAACTTCGAAAAGCTATGCATTCATCAGGAAAATAAAGTGGAGAAGTTTTATCTGGCGCTGGCAGCAGCTCCAGTTCCTCTCGGAAAAACTGCTCACTACATGCGATCTGATAAGTACCCGCCGCGTATCATGAGCAACAGTAAGCAAAAAGTTCTCTTTTCTAGTCTTTGTCATGGCTTTGCTTTTCTCTAACTTTTATTCGCCGTAGACGAACGCTTGGGATGGCAGTTGTGCGTGATGCACGTCCTCGAATGCAAGCAGGTTCCGTGGCCATCAGAAGCCGCGCTGTCCGAGTATCAGGTACAGCCTTGCGGGTGGACAAAGTCCAAGTTTGCGTACGAATGTAGAGTGAAGCTGCTCACGGGTCTAACACATCAGGTGACAATAATATTTTTCGTGGTCATTGCTTACGTGTGAAACAAATTTTTTCCTCCAGCTCCGTGCACAATTTTCAGCTTTGGGATCTCCACTGATAGGGGATTCTCTCTACATGCCAGCAGCGGCAGCGCGGCTGGAAAACCCCGAGCTAGATCCATTTCTAGACACAAGGAAGAAGGAGATAGCCGATGAAGAAGCGGGGATTGAGAAATCTCCGGCCGAGTCCAAGCAGCTCGAGAAGAAGTGGATCTCTCTACATGGTTCTGAGCCGCTGCTGGGAATAGGCCTCCAGTCCTGTGAAATCGGCTGGAAAGACGAAGGAGAAGTGTTGAGGTTTCGAGCTGGGAAGCCATGGTGGAGAACCGAAGAACACCAGGAAGAAGCAGCTACAGTGCCTTGTGAAAGCTAGCTACTTTGGCACTTCTTACAGCTATAGGGGGTGTTTACCGGCAGGATCAACTCTCTGGAAGTCTAGCTCTTCGCAGATCAGCTTTCCAGGCACAGGGATTTACCAGGGACAAGATTAGAGTGGTGATAGATAGCTCAACGCTGAGTAGATGCGATTCTGGGGCCGGGAAAAAAAAAGGTAGAAGATATGGTGCTCTGAAACGGATCGGCTATAAAGAATCTCGAGCTCATCCGGAAGAACGTGGCATGTTTTGTCTGCCGAGTTTGATTTTGCTGGTGGTAAGTAAGTCGTTGGTAAGCAATGACTGGTAGCAGCTCTCAAATCATGTTGATTTAATCTTTCTCTTTCGCTCACCAGTTTTTCGTGTAGATTCTAGAAAGATTTGGCTAGTTCCCCACTTGTCTGGAGAAAGTCTCTACACTTGTGCTGTTTAAAGAAAGAGTTTTTCGCCTCGAGGAAGAACAGTTTTTTCGCCTTTTGCAGTGATGGGCCTTTTTTCTCGGCTGCGACACAGGCATCATCACCACGAGGTATGATTGATCGTTTAAAGTTCGCTATAGAAATGCTGTTCCAAGTTTCTAAGTTCTTGTTCTCCAGGAAGAAGAAGAACACTCAGCAGGAAAAGACCATGTTTCCAATGAGCAAGAGCTCATTGTCGAGCAGCAGGAGCAGCAGCAGCAGCATCACGAGAGGAAGCCGGAGAATGAAATGCTGTTGCCACTGGAAGAGCCAATTGAGCCCCCAGAAAACATCCTCCCGATCAAGTGTCCGCATCCAGAGCCGTGCATCGTTCATGTAAGTTCTTCCTCTCTAAGTCTTGTTCTTGCTTAGAACTTCCATCGACTGGATCGGAGAGAGCTCACAGCGATGGCCACTTCGCCTTTGTCGGTGTAGGATGGAAGGATCTGGAAGGAGCGAATCGCCGCAAAACGCTCGAGCAGCGTTGGAGCAAACACAGATGGAAGAACGCATCACTCTCGAGCTGGAAGCATGCGTCTAGAACTTCTTCCGCGCAACCATGTTGGTGTCCAGGCCGCGCACACTCCCGCATCGCCCACGGTGATAACTTCGTACAGCGCTCCAGAGAAAGCGTTAATAACGATGCTGGATTAATTACCATAGTGGGATTTTGGCTAGTGCTAAATAAACACGGGTTAATCCTAGGGCGGGTTTTACAGGGGTTTAGGGCTCTTGGGAGGAAATGTAGATCGTCCTGGGCGGGCGATGGAAGCAGGGGCGATCCTTCGAGCGCCTGGCGTGGATTTGAGCCGCCAGGGAGTCGATAGATCCACGGCGGCACTGCCTAACAGAGGTATGCTCGGAAATTTCGATTCTTTGCGCGAGATTTCAAGAAATGCGCGTGGCTGGAGTGTAGGATCTCTCGCGTTTCCCAGGGCGCGGAGCTGGCGACCGAGCGCTGTGTCGAGCGAGACTACTGGGAATATCGATTCCAGAGCGCAGCCACGGCCGCAATGCTTAGAACACAATCGCGATGGTAATGACAAGAAAATCACAAGGGGAGTTTATGCCCAAGAACTGGAAGTGGCTGCTCGAGCTGTGCAGCTGGGTTGTATGCTCGCGCAGCGTGTCCAGGAGAGAATTCTCCGGAAAGAAGAGAATGCCGGTTCCAAGGACGATAAATCGCTCGTCACAGTCGCAGGTAATCCATTGCGCGAAAAATTCTTCTCGTTTGAGCTCATTCTCTCTGGCTGTTCTTGCTTGTTCTAGACTGGGGAGTCCAAGCAGTCGTTAGCTGGGTGCTCTCCCAAGCTTTTGGAGAGGAGGTATCGATCATAGCCGAGGAAGACACGAAAGGCCTGAAAGGAATGAATGGAATCCAGACGCTCCAGCGGGTCGTAGCAGTGGTGAATGAGTGCCTGTCCCAAGCCTCGGTGGTCGGTCTCACTCCTCCATCGCGCAAGCTCGGGACGATCGAGGTACTCCGAGCTATCAACAAGGGAAACTCGGAAGTTCGCTCCAGCAGGAGCTGGGTCTTGGATCCCGTGGATGGAACTCTTGGATTCGTGCGTGGCGATCAGTATGCTATTGCTCTGGGGATGATCGAAGACGGCCGAGTGGTGCTGGGAGTTCTCGGCTGCCCGAATTATCCGATGAGACCGCAGTGGTTGAACTATCACCAGAAGTACTACCGACTTGCCAGTAAGATCGCACCACCACCACCGGGAAAATGGCACAAAGGCTGTGTTCTTACCTCTGCGAAAGGAGCTGGACAGGCATGGATGGAGCCCCTGGTTTGGAACTCGGATGGCTCTTTCTTGCTGAATCCTCCTCGAGTGGTAGCAGTCTCTCCGGTGGATGATCCAGCGCAAGCTACTTTCTGCGAGCCCGTCGAGAAGGCCAACTCAAGCCATTCATTCACGGAAGGAGTTGCTGACAGCCTTGGCCTGAGGTACGCGAAAGTCTTTCTCTGCGAGCGGCAAAAACTAACTTTTGTCTCCCTGGCAGGAAACGTCCGTTACGGGTCTACAGTATGGCGAAGTATGCAGCAATTGCTCGTGGCGACGCGGAGATCTTCATGAAATTCGCAAGAGCGGGTTACAAGGAGAAGATCTGGGATCACGCTGCCGGAGTGTTGATAGTGGAGGAAGCCGGGGGAGTGGTAACTGACGCTGGCGGTCGGCCTCTAGATTTTTCAAAGGGACGGTATTTAGAAGGGCTGGACAGGGGGATCATCGTGAGCTGCGGGACGGGCCTGCACAGGAGAATTATCTCAGCAGTGGACGCGAGCTGGAATTCGTCCAAGCTGTGACAGACAGGACGGCGGTCTATGGAAACACGCGTCTTTAGATGATGAAGAAAATGGAAGAACACTTGGCCCAATGAGGAGAAGACACGCTGCCTTCGGAGGTTCGTGACAGATACATAAGTTGTGTTTGTCCTCGAAGGATCGTCACTGATTTCTGGTTTCCAATGGAGGAGCAGGAAAACCATCAGCAGCAGCAGCAGCAGCAGCAGCCGCGAAGGGGATCAAACGCTGTCAAAGCAGCCGTGGTCGAAGAAATTGCTCAAAGCGTAGTCTCGCTCTTCACTGCCGTTCAAGAGCTGGATTCCAAGAGCGAGGAGAGTGGTGGTAGTGGAGCCGCTAGCTCAAAAAGCCAGGAGGAGGAGAATCGGGCTCCAGGCCGCGAGAGCGAGAGCTCGAGATCAAACTGCCAGGAACAGAATGGAGCTGCAAAGAGCGATGTTCCTGGAGATCAGCGTGGTGTAAGTTAATTGTCAGGAGTTTCTGATGTGAATAGGAAAACTCTACTCACCTCCTCGAAAGCTTTTGTCATTGTAACTGCTTGAAACGAAGGCAGTCATCCGCAGCTGTGTGGAAGAGCTCCCTCATTAGTTTGAGCTCTTCTTCTGTGTTTTTCAATCAAACACGCAGGAAAAAAAAAACAAAAGACGAGGTTTTGTGTCTAGTTTGTTTAGCTGAGAGAAATATCAATAGTGAACCTGCAAGATCCAGCTCCAGCTGTAGCTCTTTCCCAATCTCCTCATTTTCTGCCTGCTCAATAGGAGATCTTACTTTGTTTTTGCTATCAATGAAGAAAAAAATAAGAGTACCTGGAGCTCCGCAATTCGCTTGAGCTGTGCCTCTTCACCACCTTCGGCTATTGGCAAGGCAGCCACAAGCGCATCAAACTGAGAAAAAGCGCCAGCAAAGAAAAAAAAAAATGAGCAAGAGCGAAAGAAAAAAGAAGCGAGAAATCCAAACCTGTTTTGCGGCCTGGACGAGAGTCGATGCCATTTCCGGGGCTTGTTCTTGCTGCTGTTGTGGCTGCTGTGATTGCTGTGCTTGCTGCTGCTGCTGCTGCTGCTGGCCGGGCAGAGGAGGCGCGCCAGGAGCTAGTGCCTGTGGATCCGGGTAGTTTTGCGAGAGGCGGACCGGCGCTGCATCGCGCTGCAAGGATCCGACGCTGTTGAAGGCGAGGAAGGCGATCTTGTTCACCTGGTCCTGGAGTTGCGTGATGATGTCCATGACCATGAGCCCTAACACTCAAGAACCCTAAAAGGTCTCATATTATTATCACCTTTAAGAACACAAGCTAATTATAATTAGGGATTGTGGAAAAGGGATAAAGGTGGCCATTTTCTGCATGCCACTTCTATAAAGATGGAATCTTGGAAAGGAGTATACAAAGTAAGAATCATTTCTTTTCTCATCCACATTGCACCTAATGGATGTCATACAAATGCACACAAATGGATGTCATACAAAATCTAGCACTTTCATATTGCACCTTTTCTTTCAAGAGTGACAGCTTTCCCACAATCTTAGGTGTAACAAAGAGTAAGAGCATACATTGACTAGGGTTTGAGTGAGAGCTCTTTGTGTGTAGGTAACCATGTGTCTTATTCTTTTGTGTGTTATCTAGGCACAACATAGGCACTTGAAGAGCAAGAGTAAGCATTGATCAAGTCATTGCACACCACAGTATAACTCTTGTTCTTTTGTGTTTTGGTGTGTTGTGCTATCCTTGTATGACATGGGCATATTTTGAGTTGACTTACATCAGATTGTTGGTTGGGCTTTTTATTTCTTACTCAGATACATTGAAGTAAGTAGAGTTATTATATTATAATGCCTTCATGTGAGGAAGTGCAATGCAAGGAGATGAAGGATATGCCTTCATATGAAGAAGTGTAATGCAAAGAAATGAAGGAAGAGTCTTCATGTAAAATGGTAAATGAAAAGCTTTAAATGTAATAAAAGATCACCAATGAAAAAGTTCCACATGAAATGGTGGAAGCTCCAACCACATGATATAATATGGAGGCTCTAATAGTAGAGGTGGAAGCCAAATCAGACTGATGGACACAAGCTTGAGCAATATATGGCAACACATAAAAATGGGGATGCATGTTTGTTTGTCTACATCCATATGAGAGTTGTGGCTTCTTCTCGTGGGCCATATAACCTCGTGACATCACATACATCATACAACCTAGGGTGGAAGCTTGTATTTTTGTGTTGATTATGACTTATTTGCATGGAGAGATACTCTTCACTAGTGAAAACCTTGTTTATATTTCTAATGTTAATATATAAATCATAGTTTTACCCCTTAAAGGCATTTGTTGTTACTTGCTAATAGCACTATAAGTGGATGGCAAAACACAAGAAAAAAAAACCTTGGCTAACAATCTGATGTAGGGCTCTGATTGCAAATCCATACTAAATGCAATAAAAACGCCCATATAGCACAGGAATAGCACAACACACGCTTAAAACAACAGCCATGCCACCTACTTGCAAAGAGATCTCACTCATGGATTTTTGTTCACAACAAAATCTAACAAAGGGAATCTTGTCAAGATTTATTTTCTTTATTATAATTCAATTATAAACCACACATTTATACAGTCTAAACCTGAGATGATGATGATGATGATGTGGCATCAAAGTGGCAAGATGAACATGCATGCTCATACATAAAAAAAATATTCTCAAATGATTTCATAAGTTTACACACACCCGTGCCTTTTACAGAAATCTTTTTCATACTTTTACCTGAAAAGACATGTGTTTCACCAATCCTGCTGTACCTGTACCTGGTGCCATATGGTGTTAACTGCTAACAACAAATTAATTGCCATAGATCACCCAAATATATCATCCAATATACACCATAAACTCAAGAACTAAGGCAAATGAGAAACTCTCTAGATTGCAATTGATTATGGTAATATGAGCAAACTCTCTATTAGCCGATCCAACAGAGCTACTATTCACATCGCCCAACTATTTGATCATGTCCTCATCCTGCACTTGTTTTCCCTCAAATACCCAGCATGTAAGGTTCTCAAATAAAGTGAATATATTGCATGAAGGACACCCTCACACCCACAGACACTCACACATTCACTCGTACAAGCAATTGGAGGCACCAAAGAATGTCCCAAGTTCACATCCTGGCGATGCCATTTCCAGGACAAGGCCACATCTCTCCAATGCTCAATCTCGTCAAACACTTGATCTCGCGCTCCACAAGCGTTGTGGTGACCATTGTCAACATTGATAGCATCCACCGCAAGCTCCACGCAGCAACACAAACTTCTCCATCTCCATCTCCATCCTTCGATCAACTTCGCTTCGTTTCCATCCCCTTCCACTGGTCCATCCCGCACGGCTTCGATGCGTACTGCATGCAAAACATGGTGTCCTTCATGGAGGCCGCCGAGAGCATGAACGTCGAACTCGAAAAGCTCCTCCGCGAGCTCCACCCCAGCTCCAACTTTTGCTGCCTCATCTCCGACTACTTCCTCCCCTGGACGCAGCGAGTCGCCGACAAGTTTGGAATCCCCAGAGTGGCGCTCTGGTGTGGCTGCGCTGCCTGGTCCTCGCTCGAGTTCCACATCCAAGACATGGTCTCCAGGAACCACGTTCCAGGTGATCGATCACTCGTGATTCATTCTCCGGAACTTCTAAGCTTTTTCTCGTCCTGTTTCCCTGCAGTCTTGGAGCTCGACCAAGCCTCCTTCCTCGTCGACTATATCCCCGGCCTCCCTCCACTTCACCCGGCTGACATTCCCACGTATCTCCACACGGCCAGCGAGCGATGGATCCAGATGATTGTCGAGAGAGCCCCGTTGATACGTCAAGCTGCCTGGGTCCTCGTCGACTCTTTCAGCGAGCTCGAGCCTCAGGTCTTTGAGGCGATGCAGCAGCGTCTCGGCCACAAGTTCGTGTCGGTCGGACCGCTCTCCCTGCTCCACAGCTCTAGCTCCACCATAGCTTTGCGACCGGCAGACGAGCAGTGCCTCGAGTGGCTGGACGGCCAGGCTCCAGCTTCCGTAGTGTACATTTCTTTCGGAAGTAATGCCGTACTGTCCGTGGATCAGTTTGAGGAGCTCGCCGAGGCGTTGGAAGCCATGAAGCAGCCGTTCCTGTGGGTGATCCGTCCGGAGCTCGTCACGGCCGCTCGTCCGGATGTTCTTCCACGATTGGACGAGAGCGACGTCGAGCAGAGGAAAGCAGCGTTCCTGGAGAGAACCAGAAACTTCGGCTTCGTCACTGCCTGGTCGCCGCAGCTCAAAGTTCTCTCGCATGCTGCCGTAGGATGCTTCGTCACCCACTGCGGTTGGAACTCCATCCAGGAGAGCATAGCCAGTGGCGTTCCAATGGTCGGATGGCCTTGGGCTGCCGAGCAGAACTTAAACTGCAAGCTCATGGCCGAGGACTGGAAGCTCGGTCTCCGTTTTCGTCAAGTCACCGACACCGACACCGACACCACCGCTGCTGTTAATGCCGCCAAGAGAGGCGGCGTGATAAAATCTGTCCAGATCCAGAAGATCATACGGGAGATCGTGGAAGATCACGAAGTTGCAGCCGAGCTTCGGGCAAAAGCCAAGCAAATGAAAGACGTCGCCAGAGCTGCTGTCGCGAACGGTGGCTCGTCCTTCCAGAACTTATCTCGTTTCTGTGAAGAACTCGCGGCCACGTCGTTCTGAATCAAATGTCAACTCTAAGATGTTGTCCTAGCACTTTTTCTGCCTATAGCTGCTGTAACTCTTCCTCCTCCTGGTCGCTGTCTCTCCAGATGCTTGATAGCAACACATAAGGTGAGGAAGGCCCGACCGGATCCCCGCCTTCCATGACTTTTCTTGCGATTCGAGCTCCTCCTCTGAGACTTCCCTGTGTCTTGCATCCATGAAGCAAGCTCGCCAGCTCCAAGCCACTGGCTTCAAACGGCATGCTGCTCATCAATTCTTCTGCGTCGGTCAGCCTCCCTGCTCGGCCCAGAAGATTGATCAGACACCGAAAGTGACCTGCCACCGGAGCCATGAAAAAATCCCCGGTGATAGAGACAAAGCACTGCCTTGCGTACCCGAGCAATCCAGAGTGGCTGCAAGCCGACAGAACGCTCATGAAGGTGAGTTCGGACGGACTTGTTCCATCTAGCTTCATATCCTGGAACAGAACCAAGGCCTCCTCAGGGACTCCATTTTGAGCGTACGCTGTTATCAAAGCGTTCCACGTGATGCTGTCCCGGAGGCCCATGCTGTCGAAAACTTTCCTGGAATCCTCAAGGGCCCCGCACTGTCCATACATGTGGATCAAAGCGTTGTCAAGCTCGAGTACCAATGGAGCCTTGAAGTTCACGCGGATGCCCTCGTGAAGCAGCCTTCCCTGTCTCAGCGCCGGGATGCAAGCGCACGCATCCACCATGCTGACGAAAGTAACTTCGTTCGGTAGCAGGCCCTCCAGATCCATGTAAATCCCCAGCTCGAGAGCTTCTTTCCCACAGTCGTTCTGAGCATAAGCAGCAACCATGGCCGACCATGTCACCACGTTCTTGTGAGGAATGCTGTCGAAAATCTGCTTTGCATCGTTAACGCTGCCACACTTTCCATACATGTTGACGAGCGCGCTTGCCACCTTAACATCGTTGTGGCATCCTGATGCGACTGCTTTGGAGTGGATATATCTCCCGTCTTCCAGAGCGGAAGAGCTCGCACATACCTCCAAAATGCTGGTAAACGTCACGGGGCCGGGCCCAACTCCTTCCAGATCCATGAAGCGAAACACCAGCAGAGCTTGCTTACGGGATCCATTCTGAGCGTATGCTGCAACCATGGCATTCCAGGAGATCAGGTTCTTCTCGAAAATCTCGCAAAAGGCTATCCGAGCACTTACCAGGCAGTGGCATCTGCCATACATGGTGACCAGCGCTGTTCCAACTTTCACGTCGTCTTCAAGGATCGTCCCTGAAACTGCCTGATGAATCACCCGACCGTGTGCGAGTTCAGTACAAGCATCCAACGTACTCAGAACTGCAATGCCATCGACCTGGACACCCTCCAAGTCCATCGCTTTAAACACGTCCAGAGCTTCACCGTTGCAACCATTGCTGGCATAGGCAGCCACCATCGTGGTCCAGGAAACCAGATCTCTCTGCGGCATTTTGTCGAACAGCTCCCTTGCCTGTAGAACATACCCATTGTGGGCAAACGCCGCGAACATTATCGTCCACGTGAAGAGATTCTTCCGCTCGATGCTCTCGAAAGCCGCGACAGCATCATCCAAGCTCTGGCACTTGCCATACATTTGCACCAGCAAGTTTCCCAAAAACCTGTCCCCGCGGAAAGTCTTTCGGGAAATGAGAGCGTGGACCTTTTTCCCCTGTTCCAAGGCCCTGTTGTCACCACACTGCCGTAGAAAGCTAGCGTAAGTGTCGTAGGAGCAGCTTCTGCCGGATCTGTCGAGCTCGTCGACAGCGCTGCTTACTTGACGATCGTCCAGGCAAACGTGCTTGTCATCCTTACTCAAGCTCAAAAGAGCAGCGGCTTGCCCGGGTCTACATCTTTCCCTTCTTAAAGCATGGATCATATGGACACGTTTACCACTTAGCCAAGCGAACTTAAGATATCGAGAGGAGACTTACTTGTTTCGCTGTCAATTTTGAGCAAGCTGTCAAAGGACGATTAGCTTTTTCTTTGCAGAAAGCAAACGAAAAATACTCACCAGTTTCTAGCCGAGATCCACCGGAGCGGGCTCGCTGCCACAGCTATAGACCTGCCTTATATCGTGCAGTAAGTGATGCTTCCTCCTCCTCAAGAGCGAATTTCTCAATGTTGGATTCGCCACCTCGCTTGCAATGGCTGGATCCCCGGTCACGAACACAATCTCCTTGAAATATCTATCCACGATGAAGCAGTAGTCGAGGTCCGGCCAGCCAGCCCTGGACAGCGCTGGATACTCGTTATCAAACTCCGGACATGACTCCGGCCAAGGGAGTACCTTCCAGCCCCTGGAATTCACCACAACCACGTCCTCCTTCCTGGCCTTCAATCCCTTTCTCCTCGGAACCATCCAGTCTCTCACGTAGAGCTTCCCACCTTCGAGGCACTTCCTCGTCCATTTTCCCAGCTCGCTCTCCGGATCGTCAAACTCGTTGTTGAGATTCATGTAAGCTCGAAAGTCACAGCAGTAGACAAGCCTCCTCTCGTCCGGCTTGTGGAGCTTAAACCACGCATGTTTCCTGTCCCAGGGACGTTCTTCCGCGTCGGGTAGACTCTCCCAGAATTTCTTCTCCACGGGAAACTCGTCACACCAATCTGGAATGCTGTGAGGCAGTTTCTCGATCGCGACCTCGAAGCTGGGCTGGAAGAGCATCACATCCTTCCTCAAATCCATCCCAAAGTGCTCGTTGATCGACATCTCTGCCGGCTTCCCCTCACACTCGTAAACCTGTCGTAGCTGTGGAAGATCAAAGACTCTCTCGTTGGAGAAGCAACTCTCCTCGAAATATTTGAGGAGCCTCATCCAGATCTCGGGCAAGACCACAGCCTCTCGGATCAAAACCCGCGATCCCGTCACGAACAGGCCTTGCCGCTCCACGAAATCTTCTTTCATGCCACGCGCTTGGATCAAATCCGCCAGCCCGACGTCCAGCTCCTCTGGAGTGCTCTCGAATCCCAGATATTTCCTGGTCACGCGACGTACCTCGTACTGCGATGGACGCACCGAGCACGGCAGCCAGCCCTGTTCTTGATCCATTTCCTCGGCCGTGGTGTAGATCCTGCCCTGTTCTAGCCGCTCCTCCACCCAGCGGAAGAGCGGATGCCTCTCGGATGGGATTTCCTGGAACTTCTTGTACGCTGCGGTGTCCCAGACGTAGAAGAACTGTGATTCCGGCCGTGGACGCTGCGCCGCCTCAACCCTGGCCTCGATCAGCGTGCGATGCAAATGCACGAGCAATTCCTCGTCCGTGACCTCCACCGGGAATGATGTGCGCACGACACCGTAGTAATCGAATGGATCGAGCGACCTGTTCCACTTCGCGAGATTGCGGAGCTTGGCAAGAGCGCGCTTTGGGCTCATCAAGAACCCTAAACCCCCAACGGAATATCTGAGATTCAACGGTCACGATTGATTGTATCCTGGGCGCCTGTTCAACGGCCATGATTGTTCTTCTCGAGTATAAAGCAAAGGATAGGGCAAGGGTTTGCCACAATTTGTGGGCGGTGGTTGCGTTTCTTGGTGAGTGGCTATGGCTATGGCGGTGATGATTTCCTGCTAGAAATTTCCGGTCGGTGTGCGAGGGTTTCGTGATTGTCTTGCTGGATCTGATCTTTTCTTTCGATTTCTACGTTTCTCACGGGGCTTTTTGCGACTGTAGGCTTATTTCGGCAGCAACGATGCAGATCTTTGTGAAAACCCTCACCGGCAAGACGATCACCCTCGAGGTGGAGAGCTCGGACACCATCGACAATGTTAAGACGAAGATTCAGGACAAAGAAGGGATTCCTCCGGACCAGCAGCGTCTCATCTTCGCTGGTAAGCAGCTAGAGGACGGCAGGACCTTGGCGGACTACAACATCCAGAAGGAGTCGACTCTCCATCTCGTCCTGAGGCTGCGCGGCGGGATGCAAATCTTCGTGAAGACCCTCACCGGCAAGACCATCACTCTGGAGGTGGAGAGCTCGGACACTATTGACAACGTCAAGACGAAGATCCAGGACAAGGAAGGAATTCCTCCGGACCAGCAGCGTCTCATCTTCGCTGGTAAGCAGCTAGAGGACGGCAGGACCTTAGCGGACTACAACATCCAGAAGGAGTCGACCCTCCATCTCGTCCTGAGGCTGCGCGGCGGGATGCAAATCTTCGTGAAGACCCTCACCGGCAAGACCATCACTCTGGAGGTGGAGAGCTCGGACACTATTGACAACGTCAAGACGAAGATCCAGGACAAGGAAGGAATTCCTCCGGACCAGCAGCGACTTATTTTCGCTGGGAAGCAACTCGAGGATGGACGCACCTTGGCGGACTATAACATCCAGAAGGAGTCGACCCTCCACCTTGTGCTTCGTCTTCGTGGAGGGATGCAGATCTTTGTCAAGACACTCACAGGGAAGACGATCACTCTGGAGGTGGAGAGCTCAGACACCATCGACAACGTGAAGACTAAGATCCAGGACAAGGAGGGGATTCCACCGGACCAGCAGCGACTTATCTTCGCCGGGAAGCAGCTCGAGGATGGCAGGACATTAGCCGACTACAACATCCAGAAGGAATCGACGCTTCATCTTGTTTTGCGGCTCCGTGGAGGCATGCAGATCTTCGTCAAGACCTTGACAGGCAAGACGATCACTCTGGAGGTGGAGAGCTCGGACACGATCGACAATGTCAAGACCAAGATCCAGGACAAGGAAGGCATTCCTCCGGACCAGCAGCGTCTCATCTTTGCCGGGAAGCAGCTCGAGGATGGGCGTACTCTGGCAGATTATAACATCCAGAAAGAGTCGACCCTCCATCTCGTCCTTCGTCTCCGTGGTGGCCAAGCCTAAACACTCTCTCCCATGTCATTTCAAATAACCTCTCTTCCATTCTAATAAAAACCTCACCGCTTTCTCTCATCTGTTTGATTTATAATGATCTTCACCCGTCAATTTGTATCTAGCATTATTACCTAGTTAATAATTTGCTGCGTAACGCTTTGTTTGCTTAAATTATGAATTTAATTAATCAAATAAAAATATATAATTATAAATATGTATATAATTTAGATGGTAGAATAATTAGAATATACTAGGAGGTTATAAATTATAGACATATTTACAAATTATAAATATAAAATTATTCACTTAAAAGTTAAAATTTTTAAATGTTAAACCTATTGAGCACTCTGCAGTGTTGAAAAGCGACCAAGAGTGCAGTGTCTCTGGGAAAATGCGAGTAAAAATCACTACCTTCCTCCACCTATGATTCCAAGGTGTTTGTGCTCATGCTTTCCAGTTAAATCTAGACAGAGAGAAAAACACAGTCGGCTATGGAGTTCCTGTGACCATAGTGAAGCTGCAATTGCAAGGTACCTCGAACGTAGTGGAAAATCCGCTTCACAGCTTGGCAATGTGCAAGTCCGGGGTGCTCGAGGAACTGGGAGACCATCCCAACAGCATAGGCGAGATCTGGTCACGTTCCCAGCATCAAATAAACAATACTCCCCACAGCTTGACGATATGGCACCGTGGCCATGTACTCTCGTTCTTCCTCTGTGACAGGGGCCATGTCACGGCTGAGTTTGTGATTGACCTCAAGAGGTGTGGCCACGGGAGAGCAGTCCAGCATATTGAAGCGTTCCAAGATCTCCCTTGCATAGTGAGCTTGTGTCAAGCTCAAGGTGCGTGCTCCTCGATTGCGTATAATTTGGATGCCAAGGAAATGGCGAAGCTCGCCCAGGTCAGACATCTCAAATTCTTCACTCAGCTTCTTTTTCATCTCGTCCAGCAGGTGGCGGGTTTTTGCACCGAGAATGCAGTCGTCAACGTACAATGCTACCAGGAGAAAATCGTCACCACACTTGTACAGGTACACGTTTCCTTCCAAAGGCTTGCGCTTGAGAGAATAAAGGCGATATCCTTTCATGCCTTCCAAATATCCCAGGAATTCAATGCTGAATAAATAGAGAGCAATAAAAAAACATAAAACATACCTCTCAAAGTAGCAGTGTAATATACATGGTATCCTGGAATCTCCTTAGCTTTGTGAGCCTTCATCATCTTCTCATCCACCAAACATCTATGGTGGGTAGAGCAAAAGCAGCCGTCCTTGTGGTAAACCACACCAGCCAAGGGGTGGTGTATTCTTTCATCTGCAAAATGCTGCACTGCTGTCCTAACTGCCATACCTTTGTATGGCCGGATGCCATTTGGAAAAAATTCGGCGAGAAAAGCCATTGCTTCGAGCACGTGAACATTGTTCTCTTGGGATCTGTGGTCTATATACCACTCCTTGTATCAATCGTCAAAATTGAAAGCCTTTACTATAGTAGCTGTAAGCAGCTGTGAGAGACGAAAAATGAACTGGCGGCACATTGCAACCAACAAGTGAAGTGCACAATACTGGTTGCAATATGCGGCCAGTTCGTACCACAAGGCTTCTGAATCAAGAGCAGTAAGTGATGAAGGTACGCCTATCTTGGGGACGGAGATGCTTGATATCTCCATCTTCAACCCTGGGCGTATGCTTCTCGGATTGCGTAAGTCCAAGTTAAGAGTTTTTAGGGCAAAGTGTTTTTTAGGGTTAGGGCTCATGTCGGCGTGAGAGTGTAAAGCCATAGATCCAGATGAACCCTAGATAATTAGGTTGGGGTCTTTAGGGATTTCAGGGCCATGGGTCGTCTCGTTGCATCTTTCTGGGCGCCAGGGAAGGGTGGTGATGATGGTGAGTCGGAGATTGTCTCTGATCCAGGGCTGGAGCTGTTTCCATCGGCTAAAGGTTCAGCGGTTAAAGTAGCAAATAGGATAGAGGAGATGGATGATTCAAAGACCTGGGTCCTCGTTCACAGAGACAATGGCACAGACGATTGCACATTAGCATGGAGCCCGTGTGATGGAGAACGTCTCATGATCCCGGAGCAGTTAATTGGAAGCCATGGGCTACGCTTGGCCCCTTCCTGCCACGAAATGGGTCCATTCTCTTTGCTGCTCGACAGATATCATGATCAGCTCTACGTTGCGTACGAAGGAAGCCACGGTTGCTTTCTCTACGTCTCCTCCACCGGGAGCTGGCAGCCTCTGTTAGATGTTGGAGGGGAAAAAGACGTCGAGCTTGAGTTAATGGACGCTCAAGAGGTGAGGGAGATTGGAAATACGTACATTCCATCCGTCTACTACAACCCCAAAAATCAATCATACAAGCGCTTGCCGGCGGTGCCAGATAATGTTCGTCTTAAGGGTGTCCACTGGCACGAGGGCAGCTTCTACATGATGTCTTGCATACCTTTTGAAGAGTTTCAGGTCTTCAGCTGGCAGGGTGGTGAAGAAGGGTGGCAAAAGGTTGCTGCACATCCCATATACCAGGATGGGGTTGACAGAGTAGGTGGTGACTTGTTTTGGTTTACGGCAGGTGGTCGCTACGCTTGCATATCTCAGGGGAATATGAGCTATCCGGATATAGACTCTGGTCGCTTCATTGTGGTCTACGACTTGGAGGAGAGGCAGTGGCATTACCACACCATGCATGCTGATTCTGGATTTGGTATTCCAAATGTTGTTGTGTGCAACCGCGTTCCAGAGCTTGGTGATTTGGAGGCTACCACCTTCAATGCAGTTTGGGCTGAAGATCGTGTACTTCTGCAGCTACCGCCCATTTCTTCTGCATGACTTTTGATGCAATAGCATGTTAATGCTTGTTGTTTAAATTGAAATCCAACTCACGAAAGTGCACTGAGCACGGTGTTTATTTTGTCACAGGCCTCGAGAGCATGGCTAAGGAAATACATCCATGGTCTTCCTAGTCACAGCTCAATGACGGCTAACGAGAAAGCGTCGCACGGGCATGAAGCAGATGTGGATGAACTTCGGGCATACATGAGTTTTTCTCCTGAATGCCACATTTACTGTAGATGTGGATGATCAAGTTTGAGAGGCGAGTGACATGTTCAAGTTTGTCTGTCAGATCTTGTCTATTGGACGGTGCAGCACAAGACCATCAAGAGTCGAGACCGGTGTTTGATCCAGTATGAGGAGATCCGGGAGAGGGAAAGGAGATCAAGAAGATTTTCCTTGACATGGCTGTGCTGGTGGAAGCTCATTGAGATATGATCACATGGCGGCCAACTACGTCGACAGGGAACTCGCAGCCACTATGCCAGAGGAGCTCCCGGAAGTGCGCGCTCATTGCGATCATCCTGCTGCTGCTGGTGCTCATGGTTACGACTCACCATTCTTCCTCGCGTGATAACGAGAAAGATCCACCGACTTTGAGACCTCCAGCGTACATCCTTGGACCCTGTCCCTGACTACGAAGCTGGAAGAAACGTTTTACGAGTGAAGTCGATCGAGAACCGCAAGCAACAAGAGCTTTTAGTTCAAAGAACCGAAGTGTATATATATTCTCATACCGGAGGGGCCTGTGCTGCGACTTCCACAGCGTAAATCCGGGCCCATCGGTCGGACGCGAGGATAACATCCAGGCTTGGCTCCTTGACAAAATCTCACTCGTGCGTTTTGCAAGTCTTCTCGATCAATCTGATGATGTCGAAATAACCAATCATGAGAAAAGAATCCTTGGAAACCAACTATTTTGCTTACTTCTCGTCTAGGAAGAGCTCCACTGCTTTCTCGTTGGCCGCACTCATGACTCCTGTCATGGTTCCTCCCATTCTTCCAGCTGTGTAGGATATGTCCATGGATGGATCCTTTGCTCGGTCGGGAGCTTTGAACGTTAGCGATCCAGTCCTGTTTCAAAGCTCCGGTGTGAATAAATGTTTCCAAACGACAAGGTGATAAAATGTGAAGCTTACTTGCCTTGGCCAGGTGATTTCTGAGCATGGAATCCTATCCGGCCGTGTAACGAATAGGTAGTCGCATGTCAGGCCGCCCCAATTGCACCAGAATGGAGGAATCCTGTATTTAATAGTTGTGTGTTGACGCAGCATTCAACTAATATTACCTGTGTCTTGATTATGGAGGGTATAATCGATTGGGGATGGATAACAATGTCAATGTCATCATAGTCAGCTCCAAACAAATAGTGAGCTTCAATGACCTCAAGTCCCTGCCAGCAGAAGATGTTAGTTCAAATGTTTTTTATACCTTGTTCATCAAGGTTGCCGAATCCACTGTAATTTTCTTTCCCATACTCCAGTTTGGATGCTTCAGCGCATCTGCTGGTTTGACGTCCTTGAGCCTTTCCACTGGCCAGTCCCTGATTTTTAAAGAGAAGTTCAGTTTGGATTGGTAAAGTATAACGAACCTGAACGCCCCACCAGATGCTGTGAGAGAAATCCTACGCATTCCGCCCTCTGGAAGCCCCTGAATGCACTGAAATACGCATGGTTGAATGTTAGAAACAAGCACTGTTGGAGGAAAGAAAATACATCACCTGGAAAATTGCGGAATGTTCTGAGTCCGCAGGTAGGATGTTGATTCCGTGTTTCTTTGCAAGAGGTAGAACATATGGACCGCCGGCTATGAGAGTTTCCTTGTTGGCTAGAGCAATATCCTTTCCAGCTGCTATTGCTGCTACTGTAGGCTGCAAAGAATATTATTGTACATGTTCAAGTGCTTGATGTACGCTTACCTTGAGGCCAGCACAACCAACGATTCCTGCCACAACTTCTACTGCCTCTGGATGACACGCTATCTGAAGGGCAAAAAAAGCAAACACAAGAGAAAAAAAGAAAGAGAAAGAACAACTGAGAAAATCGAAGTACCTGTACAATTCCTTCGTCCCAACGACAATCTCTGGTTTTTCGTCAAGATCAGCAATGGCTTCTTTCAATTCTGTCTCGAATCCCAACCATGCTTGGTTTGAATCTCCTGACCTGTTGATTGGCAGTGTAAGCTCGTATAAAACAGATACGACGGCCGACCAATTCGTAGTTTACCTGATCAGCAACAAGTGTAACGTT